AACCAACTCCAGAACCCACCAAAATCCACCGGAATCCTCCAAAGAACACCAGAACCCCTCCAGAACCCTCCAAAACCCTCTAAACTGCAGCCAAACCCCACCAGAACTCACCAGAACCTCACCAGAACCCCTCTAGAACCCTCCAGAAACCTCCAGAGCCCACCAGAACCCCTCCAGAACCCCTCAAAAACCTCTAAACTGCAGCCAAATCCCACCAGAACTCACCAGAACCTCACCAGAACCCCTCTAGAACCCTCCAGAACCCTCTACAACCCCTCCAAAACCCTCCAGAACCCACCAGAACCTTCCAAAAACCTCTAAACTGCAGCCAAATCCTACCAGAACCATCCAGAACCCCTCCACAACTCCTCCAGAACCCCCCAGAATCCTCGTCAACCCCTCCACAACCCTCCAGATCCCTCCAAAAACCTCTAAGCTGCAGCCAATCCCCACCAGAACCCACCAGAACCTTCCAAAAACTTCTAAACTGCAGCCAAATCCCACCAGAACCATCCAGAATCCTCGTCAACCCCTCCACAACCCTCCAGAACCCTCCAGAACCCTCCAAAAACCTCTAAGCTGCAGCCAAACCCCATCAAAACCTACCAAAACCTCACCAGAACCCTCCAGAACCCCTCCAGAACCCTCCAGAACCCTCCAAAACCCTCCAAACTGCAGCCATAACCTGATCCGACGTCTGGAGGACCAGGTGGATCTGAACTGTAAATTGTCACTGTAACGTTCTGAACTTTGTACGTAGAAGCCGAGGGGAGAACCTGACTGTAGAACCTCAGACGGACGGAGAACCTGGACCAGGAGCGTCTCAGTTTAAAGATCAACCTCGGAGCTTTTCTGTGGTTCGTCGCCGTGGAGATGTGATGGTTTTTGTCTGGAGAGTTTCACTAGAGTCCAGACGGTCCCTGAGTCCCCGGGACAGTCCCAGTCCAGACCCGGTCCAGTCCAGTCCAGTCCCCCAGTCCCAGTCCAGACCCGGTCCAGTCCAGTCCAGTCCAGACCCAGTCCCAGTCCAGACCCAGTCCCAGTCCAGACCCAGTCCCAGTCCAGACCCAGTCCAGACCCGTCCAGTCCCCCAGTCCCAGTCCAGACCCAGTCCAGACCCAGTCCCAGTCCAGACCCAGTCCTCCAGACCCAGTCCAGTCCAGACCCAGTCCAGACCCTGTGTCTCCTGTCCCCAAAGATTTACACAAAAAACGATTTGTCCAAATTTATACAAGAAATGTCCAAGTGTCTCTGATCTAAACCAGGACTAAACCAGGACTAAACCAGGTCTAAACCAGGTCTAAACCAGGTCTAAACCAGGTCTAAACCAGGTCTAAACCAGGTCTAAACCAGGTCTAAACCAGGACAATTTCAGATCTAAACCAGGGCTAAAATAGAACTATATCAGATCTAAAAGAAGGTCCAAATCAGGTCTAAACTAGGATTAAACCAGGACTATATCAGGTCCACCATCAGGACTAAACCAGGACTAAACCAGGACCCAATAAAATCAGGTGTGAGCGAAAGTCTGAAAAACTACAACACAAAGTTATGTTTTCTATAATCTAAACTCTAAATGTGTTTAGAGTTTTCACTTTCACTTTCACTTTTGTCCAAACGTCAAAATCCAAAACTGAGACTCGTTTTCTGTTTTTTATCTAAACTAATTATAATATTTTACTCTTTACTCAGATCAAACTGGTTCAAAAAGGAACATTTCTTGTATAATTTGGACAGATCGTTGTTTTGGTGTAAATCTTCGGGGACTCAGGGTCTGGACTGGGACTCAGGGTCTGGACTGGGACTCAGGGTCTGGACTGGGACTCAGGGTCTGGACTGGGACTCAGGGTCTGGACTGGGACTCAGGGTCTGGACTGGGACTCAGGGTCTGGACTGGGACTCAGGGTCTGGACTGGGACTCCGCGCGCCTGGTCCTCCGTCCTCCGTCCTCGTCCGTCTGTCTCGTTTTTGAAGCACTTGTACAAAAATCTTTTCTTCTTTACTCACAGCGAGTTTCTGTTTCTGATTTTGTGTTTTCATAAGTTTCCTTCGTGTCGATTCTCTGCAGCGACGTCGCTCTGGGGGTTCCACACGCATCTGGTTTTGGCAGAATGTTCAGCGGTTACCGCGGCGACACAACGAGCGCGTGAGGAAACACTGACGGAAACGATTCAAGAAGATCGACTGAAAACTAAAGTGATTTAAAAACACGTTTTCATGTCCGTTAGATCAGAAAGTTTGTGGATCTGTTTACGGGTTTGACTCCAAATCCAGAAACGAGGCAGTCCTGGTTTAGTCCTGGTTTAGTCCTGGTTTAGTCCTGGTTTAGACCTGGTTTAGTCCTGGTTTAGTCCTGGTTTAGACCTGGTTTAGACCTGGTTTAGTCCTGGTTTAGACCTGGTTTAGACCTGGTTTAGACCTGGTTTAGACCTGGTTTAGTCCTGGTTTAGTCCTGGTTTAGTCCTGGTTTAGACCTGGTTTAGACCTGGTTTAGTCCTGGTTTAGTTCTGGTTAGGTTTTGCTGTAGCAGGAGTAAATTATTGTTAATGTGTTTTTTATTTATTTATTTTTATTTATAAAGAAACATAAAAGTTCCACTCGAGTTTATCGTCTGTTTCTCTCCATCCGCTGTTTTTCTTGGTTTTTCTTGTTTTGTTTTTCTTGGTTTTTATTGTTTTGTTTTTCTTGGTTTTTATCGTTTTGTTTTTAACGTTGTTTCTTTTTGCGTCACATTTGATGACGACACATTTGTTTTTGTTTCTTGAGACTCGTTTTTTTCATTTGCTCCTTGTTGTGTTTGACTTTGTGACTTTGCGTCGTTTCTGGACCTGAGACTTTGACTTTACATCGTGTCGCCGCAGCGCGTTTGGCCCTCGTACAGATCAGATCAGTCAGGTCCTTCTGGTCAGACTGTGTTCAGATAAAACTCAGATTCATTTAATTTAAGTAACAGAGCGTCACCCCCAGAGAAGGAGCTGCAGAGCCTCCGTCCCGCAGATCTGACTCTCCGTTCTGTTCTGTTCTTGGTGTTGTTTGACGAGAACATTGGAGCTCACATATATTTCCTGATGTTCCTGATGTTCCTGATGTTCCTGATGTTCCTGATGTTCCTGAAGCTGCAGCCGCATGAGGTCGAGTCCGAGTCCGTCGCCTCGAGGCTCAGACTCGAATGTTGTCGTGACGTTCTGTTTTTTGTGCCATAATTCAGTAAAAAAGTTCAAGATCTTAAAGGTGAAAGACACAAGCACATGGAGAAGGTCTGGACGAGTCTCAGGATCAGGGAACTTTAAGTGACACGAGCCGCGGAGACTCAGGTCAGTGACTCGAAGCAGAAGAAGAAGCAGGAGAAGCAGACGGTGGGAGTTTTCTGTTGTTCTGGGTGGAACTTTACGTAACAGAAAGTTTCTTTTGGTACAAACCTGAGGCTCAATCCCATTAAACGTGTTCTACCAAAAACCTGCTTCAGTCCTGATTTGGTCCTGGTTTAGTTTGGTTTAGTCCTGGTTCAGTCCTGATTTAGTCCTGGTTCAGTCCTGTTCTGATTTAGTCCTTCAGTCCTGGTTTAGTCCTGGTTCAGTCCGTGTTTAGTCCTGGTTTAGTCCTGATTCAGTCCTGGTTTAGTCCTGATTTAGTCCAGACTTAGTCCAGATTCAGTCCAGGTTTAGTCCTGGTTCAGTCCTTGTTTAGTCCTGGTTTAGTCCAGACTTGGTCCAGATTTAGTCCTGGTTCAGTCCGTGTTTAGTCCTGGTTTAGTCCTGGTTTAGTCCTGGTTTAGTCCTGGTTTAGTCCTGGTTCAGTCCTGGTTTAGTCCAGACTTGGTCCAGATTTAGTCCTGGTTTAGTCCTCCTGGTTCAGTCCTGGTTTAGTCCTGGTTTAGTCCTGGTTTAGTCCTGTTTAGTCCTGGTTTAGTCCATATTTGGTGGAAAAGTTCAGTATCTTTGCTCAGTTGTTTTGATGAAATTTAAAGTTAAAGTTGTTGTAATATTTGTGTCATATTTGACATTTTAAACTCAGTCATGTTGTGATGTAACGAATGATTCTGAAACGACAGAAACTCGTCAGAAATTAAAAAAACACGTCACAGTTTTAACGTCACAGAAGAAGAAACAGACGAGGCTCCAGATCTGATCGTCTCGTCTTCACTTCAGGGAGGAAACTTTGGGTAAATATAAATGATGTTTTTTAATTTCATTCATATTTTTATTCTTGTGTAAACAGATCAGATTCAGACACACGTGGACACACTTTTATTATTAACAAAACAAGAAATAACAGAATAATAATAAATACTGTATACTACTAATAATAATATAAATAAAAATAATAATAATACAATAAATAAAATAATAAAATAAATAATAAAAATAAATAAAATAATAATTTTGGAAAAACAATAACAATGAAGTTGGTTTAGACTGTTTCAAAAAATTCAATAAATGTTTGACACTTTCTAAAAAATAATAGTTTCTGTCCCTGATCTTCTCCACTGTCAAAAATAAATTATAGATTTACACAAATCAAGAAGCAAAAGTTGAAAAACATGTTGAAAATGACAGAAAGTGGAGATGAAATCACACGGGGAGAATTCTGTCCAAAAGTTCCACATCATTTATAAAAAAGAAACACTTTTTTTTTCCCAATTTTATTCCAAATTTAAATATTATTTCACTAAGCTCAGAGTGAGGTTGTGTGTTGAGTCCAGCAGAGGGCGCTGCCTCCCACCTCCAAACCTCAGACACTTTTATTATTTATTATTATTTTATTATCCAGATTTTTATTCAAATGTGTGAGTGTAAATAAATAAAAGTGTCGTGTGTTTTTCTCCGTGAACCAAGTGACGTAAAAAAGACGGAGCAGCACAGTCGACGAGCGACGATGCAAACAAAACCAAATGAATCAGAATGAAATATAAACATTTTATTGGTATGAACAATATGTCAGAATCCAACTGAGTTTTAAAAATATCTCCATATCATTAAATGATGTGAATATCCCCACAC